ATGGCAGCATGGCAGATCTCAAGGGACCCAGGCAAGATGGCTGTGGAGCCACCCATGGTCTGGCTGTAGGAAGGAACCTGGCAGCCCCCTCAGGATCTGCTCCCTGCTCACCCAGGGCTGATACAGACAGCTTAAGGGGCAGGGTCACAGGCTGGGCGGGGGGGCTCATGCCTGTAATCCCAACACTTCCGGAGGCCAAGGCAGGAGGATTGCTTGAGGGCAGGAGCCCAAGACCAGCCTGGGCAACCTCGTCTCTACCAAAAATGAAGAAAGAGGGAGGATCGCACCCATGCCAGGGAACAGGACGGCGGCCCCAGAAAAGCAAGTTCCAAACACACCTCATTTCCTCCTGCTGAGCCCTGGGTCCTGGGTCCGAGGGCACAGAGGCTGGGGCAGGGAGAGTGCAGAACTGAATGGAGCCTGACCCAGCACTTTTCCCTCCTAAGGATGGTGCTTGGGTGGAGACATCAAGCATGACAGAAAAGAGAAGGGGTAATCCTAGGAAGGCTCCCTGGAGGAGGTCTTGAGGACCCAGGTCTGATCCGAGAGGAAAGGGGCTCCTGCCTGCCGGAAACTCCCTCTGTGTGAACCAGCCTGTTGCTGGCATGCAGTGTGCACCTCCCAGGGCTGGCTGAGAAGTATTTGCTGAATGAATGGAACAGATTGCCTCTGTGGGCTGAGAATGAAGAAGTGATAGAGAAAACAGAAAAGAAGACAGAAAGCAGGATGGTCTCCACTGTGCTTTTCCAGAACCCTCTGAAAGACCCAAAGGGCACCAGGGCAGCTGGGACCCAGCCCCATACCCACGTCCAGCTGTAGGGGCCCAGCCCCAGCTCAGGAGTCCTCACCTCATCTCCAAGAGCATTTGGTGGGGCCTCCTGTGGCAATGATCCAGCAGAACCCAGGCCAGGACCCCCCATCCCCGTTGGCGCCTGGGAGTAAACTGGGCCCGGACTGTGGGAAGGGTCAAGCCCAGGGGCCGCTGGCCCAGGCCAGAAGTAGGGACAGGCCCTGGGGGAGGGGGATATCTGGACCCAGCTCCTCCTGCCTCCTATGCCAGGGTGCCCTGAGACCCTGCAGGTGTCTGCCCCAAACACCGCGCCCGCTCCTTGGCCTAGGTCCTGGCAGTGGGGACTGGGCTTGGTGACCCTGGTCCATCCTGCAGACCCCCAGCCAGGGTGTGAGGCTAGACAGGCTGGCCAGGGGCCACCTGCTTCTGGCTGTTCCACATGCAGGCCTATGGGGCCCTCCCCTCGAGCAGCTGACATCAGCACAGGCTGCCCTGGTGGGGCCTGGTGGATCTAGTGGAGGGCAACAGACAAGAAGGTGGGACATGTGCCCTGCAAACCTGTGCTCACCACCCACCCAGGGCTGCTGGAGGCCCAGCCTGTCTCTGTCTACCCCCACCTCCCGCCTGGGTGGGGTAGTCTGTCTGGGGAGGGAGCAAAGATGGCCGTGGGGCAGGCACGCTGGAGGCCCCGGGTGAGTACTGTGCAGGCCGGCCCCCGTCTGGCTGCTGCCTGGCTCCACTCTGAGAGGCTGGCCTCATCTGGGCCCCCAAGGCCCTGGAACTGAAGACTGGTGGGGAGGTGGCCCATCCTCCTCCCTGTGTTCCTGCCTCCTGCACCTCCATGCCCCTCCCCAGCCTCAGGTTCCACCGCACCTGCACCTTCCCCCATGGGTGCCCCCTCCCAGAAGCCCTCCAGGTCTTCCCGTTGCCTGTGCCATTCCTAGAGGGGCTGACTGAGGGCCCAGGTAGTGTGTGCCCTCACCCCACCCCCCAGGGCACACACAGCGCCCTGACCCCTCCTCCCTGGCCCCTCTTTCCCTGCAGAAGGCCGGGAAGAGGCGCAGGGTGTAGGGGCTGGGCGGTGTAGGTGGGCTCAGGGAGGCTCATCCTGGAGGAGTCTGGACCCTATGAGGACGAGGACGAGGATAGAGATGAGGATGGGGACTGGGATGGGGACGTGGACGGCCCTCTCTGTTGGCTCCCTGGAGTTCCCAGATCCAGGGAAGGTCCTGGGGAACTGGTGCCTGCTAGAAAAACTAACGCAGCTTTGATCAGTGCTGGGGCTGGGATCCAGTGAGTGCAGACGCCTCTGGGTCCTGGGAGAGGAAGAATAGGGGGTCTCAAAGAGTGGGCAAGGGATGCCTGTGTGTACGTGCCTGCGTGTGCATGCCTGTGTGTGCGTGCCTGCGTTTGCATGCCGGCATGTGTGTTCCTGTGTGTGCGTGCCTGCGTGTGCGTGCCTGTGTGTACGTGCTGGCGTATGCGTGCCAACGTGTGCATGCCTGTGTGTGCATGCCGGCGTGTGTGTGCCGGCATCTGTGTTGGTGCCTATCAATGTACACATCTGTTTGCATCTGAGTCTACCTGTGCATGTGTCTCTGAGCTGTCTGTGGGTCTGTGTGTGCACATGCATCTGTGGGTCTGTGGGTGGGTCTGAGGTTGTCTGGTGTGAGCTGTGACAGAGGTGTCAGGAGGAAACTGACACTGTCCCCTTCCGCCCTGTAAGAGACAGGTCAGGGTCAGAGAAACAGTCCCTTCCCTCCACAAGGCCCTGAACCAGGGTGGGGGTTGAGAATTGCTCAAGGGAAACCTCCCTCCCCCGCATCTGGGCACAAATCACTGTCACTTGCTGCCTCCACGCCTCCCCCCACACACTCAAACACACTCACACTGAAACACACACTTCCCCATTCCACACATACACCTCCCCATTCCACACACACACATACATGCACTCACACGCATACACACATTTCCCCATTCCACACATACACACGCACTCACAAACATACATGTTTCCCCATTCCACACGCACTCACACACATACACACACACTTCCCCATTCCACACACACACACAAACACACTGTCCCCAATTCCACACACTTCCACTCAAACACACACACACACACAGACTTCACATTTACACTCATACACACACTCCCAATCCCACACATGTCCACTCACACACACACATTCACTTCCACACACATGCACACCCCAGTTCCACACTCTCTCACACACACTTCCACTCCACTTCCACACGCACATTCACACTCACACACTCTGTTACACACACTTCCACACACACACAGCCAGAAAGCAAGGGAGCAAGCCATCTGCCTGGGCTGTCCAGGGAGCAGGGGGAGTGCCTGCGATGGAGGGGCTTGGTGGCCTTGTACAGCTGTCTTTGGGCCACACCACAGCGGCACTGTGTGTCCTGGCTGCAGCTGGAGCCCGAGGTCCCCGGGTCAGATCAAGGGATGAGCAGGGGCAGTGCCGGACCTTGACGGAGGACGATGGAGGAGCTCTTACACCCAGGCCAGGAGCTGCCTTTGCAGAGGATGGTGGGGCCCGCTGGGCTCCCCTCATGCCTGGGGGAAGTGCTGTCCACATCCCCGGGCGCTTGTTACCCTGGTGCATCCCCTGCCCCCTCCCTACACCAGCCTGACCTCCATCTGGATCTGTGTCTTCCTGGCAGCCCATCATCCTCTCGCTTGTTCTGAGGTTGCTCGGCTGATCCAACAGAGATGGGAGTGCCCAAGGGATGTGCGGCGAGGTCCCTGGGTGACCCCTCCCTGGGCTCTGTGTCCCACCTGTGCAGCACTGGATGAGCCAGTGGTGGAAAGACATCTGGGGCTCCTTGGTGTGTGTCTTGAGTGCCCACCTGTGTGTCGTTCTGAAGGGAGAGCCCAGACCCAAGTGCCCTGATGAGGAGAGGAGGGAGTCAGAGACCTGCTGGGACAGGTGGCCGTCCTCTCCCTGTGTGGAGAGCTGGGTGGATGGCTCAGGATGCTTCATGTACCAGGATGGAAACCTTGCATGCATCCGAGAGTCCACCGGTGATGCTTTCTCCCTCAGGCATGGCTGGATCCAGGAGCCCAACGGCTATCATCAGAACTGGTGTCCTCACCCTGGGCTCAGCCTGCGGTCCTCTCAGGCAGCCCTTACCCTTGGCATGGCACCTCCAGGCTGACATCCCAGCTCAGACCTGGGGTCCATGAAGGACCCAAGTGCAATGTGCCTGATTCTCCCTAGGCAATGAGTGATGCCCAGGTCCCAGGCGCCCCTGTCTGGGGCAAGAGGTGGGCTTAGTCTAGTACCAGCCTATGGATGATTCCCAGAGGAGGATTTGGGGCTGTTCCTAGATGTGGTGGATGCTGGGCAGAGCCCTGGCAATGCCCACCTGCCCTTTAGAGGGCTTTCCCTTGCTCTGCCTCCTCTGAGCCTCACCAAGCCCTGAGGAAGTTGAGGCTCAGAATGCCTCTGTGGCCCATCTAGGACCTCCATTAGCAAATGGCCAGGCCTAGACCCCGTGGGCTCCAGTTCCACCCCAACTCCCAGCCATCTGCCCAGATCAACTTGCACGGGCTTCTGGCAGATGCCCTGGGCATTACTGAATGCCTATTTCCTGCAGTCAGCCAGTGGGTGGGAGCACTGGCCAGCATGCTCCTCCCTGGTCCTGGGGATCTCCCAGCCCGGGGCCATGCGACTCCTGGGCAGACTGCCTTCCCCCAGCTTGTGCAGGCTGGCACCAGGCACAGGAGCCCAGCACAAGGCCTCTTATCAGCCCCTTCATCTCTTCCCCAGAACAGGCCCAGCCTGCTCGCCTGGCTTGTCACCATGCTGGGCAGGGATGGCGTCACCCAGCTGGCTGCATGAAACTGCTGAAGCCCTGTGGGCTGGGCATCCTGAACCGCACCCTCCTCACCCAGGGTGGCTGCAGAATTTACCAGGCCCTCTGCACAATGAAAATGTGAGATCCTTGCCCTGAGACGACAGAGAATCTCAGGACGGCCATGGCAGAGTGGTGCGTTACCCTTGGTGCCCTGAGCCCTGCATGATGATCCTGGTGGGGCAGCTTGGCCTCCGGGGTCACCCCTCTCTACCATGCCCATGAGGACTGGGCTGTGACCAGTACCCTGCTGTGACCCCTGACACACAGACCCCAGCCATCTCCTCCACCCACTCCCTGACTTCCTCTTCCAGGGATGCAATTGGGGGAGCACACACATCCCCAGAAGGACCCCGGATGCCTGGCTGTCTCTTACCCAACCCCTGCCCCCAGCTACAGCTGAGGGGCCAGCGTGCCCTGTAGATTACTCCTGAAGAGAAACCAACGTCACCACCCGCAAGCACCCCAACGCTCCTCATCCTGAGCCCCATCTCTGCCCCATCTTGGCTCCCCAGGCATATTTAAATATTGCCCCTCCCACCCCCGTGCCTGGCAGATCCCCTGGCACTGAGACCCAGCCAGTGGCTCCGGCCAACGCACTTGGCTCCTGTAGCAAGTTAAATCTAACCCAGCCCAGCTGTCTCTCCTCCGGCTCCCACCTGTCCCTCCCGTTCCCTGAAGGGATGTGCCCACATCCTGCCCACCCTAAACGGGCCCTCAGGAAGGGCACAGAGGTCCCCAGGGTCCCCCACTTTCCCACGCTTGGGAAGCCCTTTGCCTAGCGGTCTCTGGGGTCTCTGCCCTGGCCATGGAGGTACCCTGCTGCCTGCCCAGGGTGGGGCCGGCAGTGCATCGAGTTTTTAACAGGCATTTCGAGAAGGAGCAGGAACCCACTTCGCATCAGCCAGGGTGCAGCCAGGAAGAGGGAAGCTCCAGGCCAGCACTGAAGCTGGCCATTCCAGCACCATGCTGGGGTTATGGGGGTGGGACACAGACCTCACGCTGCAGGAACGCCAGGGAATGTGTGCTGTCCGCTCTGCCTCGCATCTGGGGCTGTTGCTTCTTCCGAGGCAGGGCACTCGTGGGCTGCTTCCAGAGATGTCCGCATTTCTGGGCCTGGGATGCTCTAGGCCTGGCTGTGGGGCCACCTATAATCTGCTCCCTGTAGCCGCTGCATGTTTTGTTTAGGCTGGCAATGCACTCAGCTAAAATGCTGCTGTCCTGGCAAAAGTGGCATAGGACAGAGTTCTGGGTGAGATGTGAGCAGAGGTGCTGGGTGTATCTTCAGGGAAAAATCCTCAAAGGGTGCTGACTCATCCAGGGGCAGCACTTCTGCTCTCCCTCTTTTCTTTCCTTTTTTCTAGTCAGTTGTGCTTGTGATGGCTGGAGTACCGGCAGCTGTTTTGGGCCACGAGGCAGAACTGAGACTGGAAGACAGCACAAGGACAGTGATAAGTAAGACAGGAGTCGCATCCTGGAAGATGCATGGTCCCTGCCAGCCAGTCAGCCCAGGCTTGTGTCACCTGAGAGAAAAGTATTATTCTACCTTGTTGGAGCCTGTTATTCTGAGCTTTCTCAGAAACACAGCTCTAACCAGTCCAAAGGGCAGGCAGCCATGTTGGCTCAAATGCTTCCCCCAGCAAGGCAGGAGGCCACTCCAGTGTCCTGCAAGAAACTTCATAGGAAAAAGGCTCCCATCCCCCTACGTCAGGGGTCCGCATCAGGCCCTTCCTGGGCCCTGGAGTCTCCATGTGCACCTGAGTGAGGGGCTCTGGGAAGCCTAAGGTTGTGGAGGGCGCCTGTTGACTTCGTTTACATAGTTTTCTCAAACCTACTTGATGGAGGAACCCCTTCCTCCCGAAGCAAGGACTTACAGTCAGAAAGGCCTCTGAGAGGCCGCCGTCTTCCCTCACAGCGGGTGGGACATGCCCCCAAACTGCTGCACTCGGAGGAGCTCGGGCCGGCCCTGGGCACACAGCAAGCCCTCAGGAGGCTGGGGCTGCTGCCAGGGAGCCCAGCAGTGGGGCCACTGCCAGCCCCGTGAGCGGGAAGTTGGGGGCCTTTCTCCTCTCCCCAGCCTCCTCATTCCGACTGCTGTGGAGCTGTGGCCTGAGCGCTGCCCTGGCCCTCTGCTCAGACCGGCCTGTTCCCTGGGCAGGCCTCAGTGCCGATATCATCTGGCAGAGGCTGGGAGTGGGAGGGGGCTGTGGAGACATGTGGGATCACCCCAGGAAGAGTGGGTTTGCAGAGTTGCAGCAGCGTGAAGGCTGTGGGGTTAGAAGTTTATAAGAGGAACACTATTTTTCTCTTTTGGCAGATTTTAATGGGTGCAGATTGTTCAGGTCCCAAAGACATAGAAAAAAAAGAGAGAAAGAAAAAGCCCTTTACTGCTGCTATTGATAACTTGTCTCGCTCCACGTGGTGGGTTCAAAACTAAAAATACTCTCCTTCCAACGGTAGAGAAGCCAGGGCTGTCACGTTGCAGAGGAGATTGGAGAGTTTCAGTGGGGAGGGGTCAGCTGCAGCCACGTGAGGGCCAGGGCCAGGTCTCGCTCTGGCTGCCCAGGCTGTATCCACATGGAAGATTCCATAGCTTTCCACAAAAGAGAGTGGGAGAATGTCCTCTCCGAAGGCCTGGGGAGTGCCTGGGGAGAGGAGACAGCCTCAGCCGGGGCTCACCAGCCAGTAGCTGCCAGCCAGGCCAGCAATGCCAAGGCACCCGGCGTTCCTGGAAGCCAAGCCCTGTTTGATCTAATGGGGCAGCTGTGGGTGCAGACCCAGATAAAGAGATAAACCCAGACCCAGAAACCGGGAGAAGAGGTAAGAGTGAAGCGGGGGAAAGGGCGGTGGGTTGTGGGCGGGACCGGTGCCGCCAGGCCCTGGGCAAGCTGCTTCTGCTCTCTAAGCCTCAGTTTCCCCATCCAAAAGGTGGAAACAACAACCTCTCTTCCGCCTCCTTCACAGTGAGAGGAAAGGAAGAAGGATGGCATAGGTGTGGCTGGAACTGCTGGACCCAGCACGCCAGCCCTGGGGGGCACATGGGTCATGATATCTGCCCACTGGTCACCTGCCCCATTGTGAGGGACGGAGAGAGCTTCTCCCCTTCTTGGCTAAAGAGGACAGAGGGAGGAGCCTAGAAATTCTGTCAGGCAGCAGAAATTTGGTCTGAAAGCAGTGCAGGTGGGAGAAGACACCCCCAAAATTACCTGTAAGATGAGCAGGTCTCGAGCTCTGGAGAGCATGTGTGGCACACACAGCCGCCAGTGGACCTGCTGTGGGGTCCAGCAGCCACAGCCATGGGAACAGCCAGGCACATTGTTCACATGCAGATCCCGGTTCGAGAGCCTGGGTGGGGCTCTGCCTCGAGGATGACCTCTGGGGCCAGGCCTGGTCCACCCTGGAGCTGTGCTGGGCCCCTTCCCATTGCAGGGCTAGGGCAGTCACTTAACCTGTCTGGGGCTAGGCCTGCTCATCTGAAGAGTGGGAGTGATGGCCCCTGGTACCCACTTGATCAGCTGTTGCAAACATGAAACCAGATGGGCCTGTAAATCGAAGGGCACTCAGCCGCCATCATCATCCCCATTATTGTCATCCTCACCATCGTCCTCAGCATCATCGCCCCAGTTCATCCATCTTTGTTGCCTTCTCCATCCTCATCTTCCATCCCTGGAGAACGGTGCCTCTTGAACCGGCCTTGTGACCTAGTGAAGATCATCACACAGATGCCTAAGTTGGTTTCAAGGCACCCTCCCTACCACCCACCAACCGAGGAAGGATTCTCGCCTGGTGCAGGCAACCGGCCCCGGGGAGGAAGTGCCTGTCCAGTCCTGGCAAGAATCCAGCAGTGCTGGCTGACGGCAGATTGCCCTCGGAGCTCAGTTACTGCATCTGTGAAGAGGGGTAGAGTCCCTGTCCTGGACCCGGGGCCATCTGAGATCACACCTCCTACCCCCAAGGCCAGCGTGGTTCTCCCTGCTCGGCCCTGGGGTGGTCCCTGGGCAATGAGAAGGGCCTTCTGCCAGCCTCCGAGGCTGCCCTTACTGCAGAGCTCGAAGTCAAGGGGTGGGTGGGCAGGTTGGGGCCCCTCAAGGGCACAGGGGTTAGAGTCTTAGAGACTCAGGGTGAGGGGCATGGAAGGGGTGGGTTTCTGGGACCCTGAGCTGGCCTTGGCCAGGCCCACAGGGGAAGCTGTGGAGCGTGGTCATCTCCGTGGCAACTGGCTTCATCGTCCTTGTCCTGGCTTGGGAGCTGCATGCCTTCCCTTCCCTTTCGGTGGCTGGAGTCACTTTCTTCAGGGGTAACCATGGCAACCCCTTTGTTTCTGAGGCCTGCCCGCCACCCTCCCCGTTCTCTCTTCAGGAGAGGCTCAGCCGGCTCCTTCCTAGTCCTGGCACGTCTCTAGCTGCACCGGCTGACAGTGGCCCACCAGTGAGTGGGGCCAGCCCCTGGGATGGGGGAGAACTTCCCTGCTGGGCCCAGAGATGTCGCCTGGGCCACCCCTGCCTCGGAGGCCACATTCATTGGCTCACTCATGCCCTGACACTGATCGAGTACCTGCATCTGCCAAGGGATCACAAATGGGGCAAAGGCCTGTCACTGCCCCTGAAGCCCTGTGAGGGGCAGCCTGGGAGTGGGGAGACAAGGCCTGAGGAGGGGGTGCAGAGGCCTATCGGGGGGTGGCTCTGCTGCAGGATGCACTGCGGGAGTCACAGGTCATTGCCAGGGCCCTGGAGGCTGCAAGCAGCCCAGGACTCTTGGCTCTGCCTCAAACTGGCTGAAGCAGAAATGAGCATGTGGTTCATGTAACTGAAAAGTCAAGCACAGCACCTGCTGATGTGCTGTGGGGTCCACGTGCACCAGCCAGGGTGGCTCCTGCTTTCCTCCCGCTGGCTTCATTCTCACGGAGCCCCGTCCTCAGGTGGTGAGATGTGGAAGAGTTGCCCCAGACTTCCATCTCTCTCTCACCTAACCCAGTTCTGGGGAGGTCTGTGGGCAGATGGGAGAATCATTTGGCTTCAGCCCCAGCTCTAGTCTGAACTCTGACCCCACAGCAAAAGTCCCAGGACTGAGCTGCTTTGGTCAGAACTGGGTCACAGGCTGACCCCTAAACCAACTGCTGTGACTCTGTGTAGCCAGCCTGGTTCATGTACTCCATTCCCCTCAAACCAGACCCGACTTAAATGAGATGATGACAGGGGAACCGTGGTTTGCAAATGAAACTCTGGGTGCTCACAGACTCAGAGAAGTTAATTTGTCCAAAGCCAGGCAGCTGGTAAGAATGAAAGTTCCAGGTCTGATTCCAGAACTTCTGGCCTTAACCGTGGAGCCACTGCAGGTCAGTGGGAGTCCAAAGGATTTTAAGTATGGCAGTGGAACGGTCAGGGATGCACCTGGGTGGGTAAATTGGCGCTGGATTTTGGTTAGCGGTGAATGGCATGCAAAGGAGGTAGACAGTATTCAGGATTTGGTAGGACAGTGGGAGCAGCGATGCCCCAGCCATAGCACGGTCCCCAGCACCTGTAGGAAAAAGCCCCCAGGGCTTTGGGTAGCGGAGAGGTGGGCCTATGAGGCCTGCACCGCCACCAGGGCGCAAAGCACCCGCGGGCGAAGAGCCCACGCCCCGCGCCACCTGATTCACTGTTTGTAAACTCAGCTTTCTGCAGCCACGCCCTTTCCTCCTTCCCTCCCTCCCCTTTTGGCTCAGGGACTGAAGAACCCCGCCTTTCTCCTGCTGTGACTGGCTGTTCTCACCGTCACTCCGCAGCGTGGGCGGGGCTCCGAGGGGCACCGGGAAAGACTCCTGGGCAAAGGGATTAGCATAGTCCCGCCCCCCGGCGAGAGCCTCGGGCCGGGCGCTGATTGGGCAGACGGCGGCCGACGCGACGCCGCCGGGCGCAGCGAGTGGTGGGCGTGAGCTGTCAGTCGGCGAGGCGGCGGGCCGCACTTCCGCCTCGGTGTCAGTGGGTCGCGGGCCTGCGGGGCGGGGGCGGGGCGGCAGCGAGCTCTGCCAGCTACCGAGGGACCCGTGTCCAGGTGAGTGGCCTCCGCTGCCGCCACGCGAAGGTCCGGGACCCCGGCGAGCTGCGGGGCCTGGGTCGCGGGCCGGGGGCGGGGAGGAGAGGGCGGGCCGGGTAGGGCCCGGGCCCGCAGGCCGCCTCCAGCCACGGCCCCGGCCTGGACCCCCACGGGGAGGCGCGCCCGGCGTAGGCCGCAGCTCGGCGCCCGGGGTAAACTTTGGGTGGAAAGTTCCGGCCGGGCCTGGGGCCTGGGCATGGGTCCCACGGCCGCTGCGCCTCCCCCTACGGTCACCAGGCAACTGTGGTCCCGACCCCTGGGATCCCCGGCCCGGCTGCCCCGCGGAGCAGAAAGTGGGGACAGGCGCACCTGCTCGCGGCCTCGCGCCCGCCCCCTCTCTGGGAACAGGGAAGGGTTTCGTGCGCATTTAGGGCGATCCCGCAGGTGAGGAGGGCGAGTTCTGCCGCGAGGAAGAGAGCAGGGAGACGCAGCCCCACCCCGACCCTGGCCTCCTTGTCCCCCAGGCCTGTGTGCGCGTCCTCCCCACGAGGGTATCCACGGGCGCTTGTCCCTTCCCCTGGACTCTCGTATTTTTAATATATAAATTTTAGCGGACTGCACACGGTTGAGAACTTACTACCTAACACCTACCTTTGGTCATGTAATTTTAAGAGGTTCCTTCTTTCGCCACATATGTTGGTTCTCAGAAGAATACGTCTTTAGACTTTCTAAGTTTATAAGCTCGGACCAAGACTGTTAGGTCACCACAGAACCTTAGCCTCCCGATTTCATGGGAGGGTGTACCGGTGGCGAGGCGGTGGGTGTCAGGGTGTTGCAGGCTCTCCTGGGGTGAGGTTCACGTCCTAGGGGTGTTTCTATCTGAACGTTTCTCTAGGACAGGCCCTGGCCTGGCTCCGGCATCTTTGAAATGACTGCCGGGGACACCTGAAGAAGGCGTCCGGTTCGGTTTGGTTGGACAGAAGTTTCTCGAATGCCTGCTGCGGGCCTGGTTGTGGGCTGTGCGGCCTTGCCCACCCGCTGGATGTGTGGCGAGGACAGAGGAGAGTTGAGGAGGCCGGAACTGGCTCAGGGGCCACATGCTGGGGAGCCACGGCCCTCCCTGCTGCCCTTGCTGCCCTTCCTAACTGGTGGTCCCCACAGCCCCTTTCCTGGCTGTCAGCCTCAGCTCCTTCATCTGGACACGTAGCACTTTGCTGATAAGAGAAGCAAATGAAATCATTTTCTCGTTTCATGTTTTGAGACGGAGTCTCGAGGCACTCTGTCGCCCGGGCTGTAGTGCAGTAGTTCGATCTTGGCTCACTACAACCTCCACCTCCTGGATTCAAGTGATTCTCCTGCCTCAGTCTTAGGAATAACTGGGATCACCGGTGCACGCCACCACGCCTGGCTAATTTTTAGTAGAGATGGAGGTCTCACCATGTTGGCCAGGCTGGTCTTGAACTCCTGACCTTAAGGGATCTGCCGGCTTTGGCCTCTCAAAGTGCTGGGATTACAGGCGTGAGCCACCGCGCCCCGCCCTTGAAATCATTTTCTACTGCAGTTTCTGACACCAAGTGTGTGCCCTGGACTGCCAGTTCCCTTCCCCTTGTTAAGGACAGGAACCTCCTCTGTGGCACTTCTCCCTGCCCAGCCCAGTACCTGCCACAGTGTTGTCTTTTAGAACGTGGTGGAGAGTGAGTGGGTGATTGAGTCTCCCTCGTAGAATTCACCTTGTTTTCTTCATGTGTCCATCTGTTAATGACAGCTCTTACCTAAGCAGACGATGATATTTACAATGATTGTTCCGGGACTGTTATGAGCATGTGGTCTTCACAGCAGTTGACAGGTACTGACATTATCCTTAGTTCATTCATGAGGAAGCCAAGGAACAGAGAGGTTAGGTAACTTGCCCTAAACCACACAGCAGTAAATATGGATTTGAACCCAGGCTCCAAGGGTCACACTCTTAAACATTACCCTGTATTGCCTTTTAATATCAAGATTTTCATTTAATGTTTTTGTTTAGAATATTCTAATTGTGCTGCATTACTGTGTGTCAGAATTTTGTTTTTTGCTGCATATGGAACTAAGAGATTTTCTCTTTTTTGTGAGCCTAAGCGTTTACAAATCCATTTTGTTTCTTCTGAAATAATTTGCTGTCTGGCTATTCAGTATTTAGCCAAAATGCCCTCCCTGCTACCCAGTTCCTTTGTTACTGGCAGATTCAGGGATGTTCTCTGTGTGAAGGGGGAGAATTGGGGCCATGGGTGCTGATGGGCGTGCAGTCCAAAGTATGAGGTCTCCTTTTGAGTTCAATTCCAAGTGGACTTCACACAGTGCCTTGGAGTACACATGTAGGACATTTTTCTTCCTGCTCCCAAGTGCACCAAGAGGGTCAGACTCTGTGTTCCGTGTTTTAAAGAGTGGCGCTGTTTGAATGTGGAAAGTGCTGCTTGCTTTAACCCCAGCGTCTCCTCTGTGCCCTCCAGGAGATGCTATCAGATGGGGCTTGGATTTGTCTTAAAACTTTCTTGACTTTTAAAGTTTTAATACATTCAGCCAATTACAAAAGTGACTTTTTTTCTTGAGATGGAGTCTCGCTCTGTTGCCAGGCTGGAATGCAGTGGCATGATCTTGGCTCACTGCAACCTCTGCCTCTCGGGTTGAAGCGATTCTCCTGCCTCAGCCTCCTGGGTAGCTGGGACTACAGGTGCATGCCACCACACCCAGCTAATTTATTTTTATTTTTATTTTTAGTAGAGATGGGGTTTTACCATGATGGCTGGAATGGTCTCGATCTCTTGACCTCATGATCCGCCCACCTCAGCCTCCCAAAGTGCTGGGATTACAGGCGTGAGCGTCCGCATCTGGCCAAAAGTGACATTTTTTAATAAGGGAATTGTTGATAGATTTTAGGTACTGTTATGCTGCCTTCAAACAGGGAACCTGCTAGCTCCTGAAAGTGATTTCTTTTGTGTCCCCGTGCAAGCTATGTCTTGTCTGGCCACGCAGGTGCAGCTGGTGCCTTGCCTTCCTGAGTCACAGCATCTTTGGGAAGGTAGTGCCCTGGACCAGGGCTCTTGGGTCCTGGGTGAGTTCCCACTGGCTCCTGCCCTCAGTGTCTTTGCCTGTAAGATGGATTATTGCATGGAATCTGTGTCTGATATGCTGTGGGTGCCAGGGACACCCTTGGGTCCGCCACCTGCTGAACCTGGCGCCACCCAGCAGTGCAGCAGCCACGCCCTCGGGTGTCCTGGGATATTTTTATTCCTGAGTGACTTATTTCAGACAGAACACAGCTCTGCCATGCAAGGCTTTTCTCGGCTTCTGTGCTGAGGCGCCCCGTGTGTGTGGCATCACTGGCGGTGTCGGGACCTCTTTGGGCAGTGCAGTTGGGTGTGGGCTGCTTTTCTCCTAATCATCGTCATACTTCCTGTTTGGGTGTTGACATTTGCTTTAGTGTTTAGCACTGATTGTCAAGTACGAAGTTTAATTCCAAAATGTAGTGTGTTTTCAAGTTGATTTATAACCTTATCTACACTGAAAGGAAGTCAGTATTTGAACACGACTGATTATTAAAAAGCCTGAGTCCTGAGTTAATATGTTGGCTTCTGGTTTGATAGTTTAAGTGTACTTCCTGTGTGTGCTGGTTGATTTGTATCTCCGTTGTCATTTTTGCTTTTTCAGAGTGTTCTTGCTAGTAAGCATCAGGCGTGGTGCCCCAGCCTCTCAGGCTGCTGGTTTGGGCTAGGGTCCTGCTGTGGAAGCGTGCCAGCAAGCCGGCCTACCTGCTGCTCTCTGTGATAAACATCTGTTAACTGGTTCACGGCAATGTTTCTGTGTAATTTTTGCCACTTCTTTCCTTTTCCTTCCAGATTCAGAAAAGAACTTAGGGTCATTTGGCAGAATTTCAAAGCATCCTCATTCTTTCAGCTGGAGCTTCTGTTGATACAAATCCCCTGACCTGTGAGTTGAGCTGGGTGGTGGAGTGAGCTTTCCTAAGGGACCAGACCTAAGACTCGTGCCTGATGTGTGTCTGTTTCTCTTTTCTTGCCTTCTTTTTTCAGCAGAATACTTGCTTATTTTGAGAAACAAACTCTGGGATCAGTCCTGTCGAGCTGGTGGCTGGCTCCATAGTTTGGGGCCTGAAGAGCGCCCTGCATCTTCAAGGCTTGTGGCAGGCGTCTGGCCCTCGCTCTGGGGTGTAAAGTGGCTTCCTCATCTGTGCACTGAGGGCCTGGGGGCTCTGTCTCTGATGCTGAGGCATGTCAGCAGTGGGAAGGGTCTGAGGGGCTGTTGGCTGAGCAGGCACTGAGCACATTTCTTTATCAAAGGGACTGGGACCACAGCCTTCCGGGTGCCTAGAGAGTGCCTGTTCTGGGGTGATACGGGGGGTGCCTGATACAGGGAGTTTTTGGGGGAGCACCAGGCAGTGAGGACTGCGGTGTGTAGGGAGTTGTGTGGAGTCTTGGTTCTAGAAAAGATGAAGGCAGTGGTAGAGGAAGGGGTGCTGTGGTGTGGAAGCGAGTGCCCGTGCCTTGTACTGAAAAACCTAAGGCTGATCCAAGGCTGATGGTGAGAAGGAGCCCGCTGTGAGCTGCCACCTTGTGCCACTGTGCTCGGCCAGAGAGCAACTTCCAATATTGCCTTAAAACCAGGGTAACCGTGATTCGGTGTCATTTCGGGGACCCTGATAATGACAGCAGGTGTCAGGTGCACATGGGGCCTGGGGATACCCCCTCACTGTGAAAGAGGACACGGGCCAGGTCTGCGATGCTGAGCTCCTGCGGGTGCCCGGTTCTAGCTTGGCCTCTCTTGATGATATGGTGGACCCTGAGATGCCTGAGCTGGGGTTGAGGGAGGTAAGCCTCACTCATCTTCCAAGTAAGCCTCACCTGCGGGAAATGCTGAACACTTGGAGGTGCCTGAGCTGGGGTCCAGGGAGGGGTCCCAGTGCAGAGGCGGCTGAGGAGCCCTCCCACCTGCTCCACAGCTCCTGCCCCACAGCTCTGCCTCTGCACTGGTTCACCGGTCAGGGGAGAAGCCTCCTGGGTTAACATCTTGGAGTTTTCAACCCTGGCTTCTTATCAGAAAAGCCTGGGGAACTTTGTAAAAGTGTGAGTTCCAGGCCTAGCCCCAGCTTCACTGAGCCTGGTTTCCCGGGAGGGGCCCAGGGAGCCACATGTTTAACAGATTCGGGGTCTGGGGTGGGTCCCCGGCAGGGAGTCCAGTGCTGCAGGCTACTGCAGGGGGTCAGAACCCACTTCTAGATCAAGGACCCCTTTGAAAACTTCATGAATATGAATAATCGGAGTCATTGTTCTAGGGGAAAAAATGAACACAAAATTTTTCCTTTTCTTTTTTTTGCAGAGGGTAGGGGGTTAGCGATTCCTGGATTTCCTGGCCTGGTTTGAAGCCCACCCTGTAGGTG